ACAATCTGTTATAACGAATTACCAATTCGTTTTCTCAGATTATTAATTCTATTTTTTTCTTGTCTTTTTTCTTTTTCTTTCTTTCTTTTTCTTTTTCTTTTTCTTTTTTTTTTTGCTTGTCAAGAAATTTTTGAGTAAGATTTTTTTTTTGATTGGGGTAACCCCCCCCCCCCCGGAAAAAATTCCTGGATCTGCGCCTGATTTCGATTCGTTCCCTCGAATAAGACAAACCGTTCTCTCGGATTGAAATTCATTTTCTCGATTTAAACAATTCATTCCCCCTGGAATGTTAATCGTTCTCGCAAGGAACATAATTTGTTTTCACAGGTTATACCTTCTTTCCATTATTTAATTTCATGCACCATTTGCTGGTCTTCCAGCTGGCAGCTGAGTGCACTTATTTATCTGTACATCTCAGATATGGCAATATATGTTTAATGAATAGAAAAATGAGTAGTATACACCCTACTTTTTATTACATATTACGGTCCTGAATGAGAATACATGTATTACATTTTCAAATCCATATAACAGTACTCATATTTGTACAAATAAAGTCTTAGAATTTTGTGTTTTGTCTAAATCATGAGACCGAAGTGATTATCAGTGGAAACGGATTATGTAATTCGAGATCTCGAATTATAAATCGAGAGAATGAATAAGTAATCTGCGGGAACAGATTTGAAATTCCGAGATTTCAAATTGATATTTACTTTTTTGAGAAATCGGCGTGTCCCTTCAGGGCTTTCGTAGTACGAGAAGCCCATTTAGGACCTATCAAAAAAAAATTTGAAATCGATATAAGGAATTATGGAAGCCCATTTAGGACCTATCAAAATATTTTTGAATTCGATATAATGAATTGTCGAATTTGTTATAACGAATTTAATTCGTTATAACAGTTTCTTTGAATTCGTTATAACGAATTTAATCTGTTATAACAAATTTATTGAACTCGTTATAACGAATTCAAATATTTGTTATAACGAATTAAATTCGTTATAATGAATTCTGAAACTTGTTATAACGAATTAATTTCGTTATAACGAATTCTCTAATTTGTTATAACGACTTAAATTTGTTAAAATGAATTCGACAAATCGTTATATCGAATTCATACATATTTTTCTAAAGGCCCCGATTGTTGAATTTGATTTAACGAATTTAATTCGTTACAACAAATTTTTGAATTTGTTATTACGAATTAAATTTGTTATAACAAATTTTAGAATTCGTTTAAACGAATTTAATTCGTAATAACAAATTTTTGAATTCGTTATAACAAATAAAGAAATTTGTTATAACAGAATAAATTTGTTATAACGAATTCAAAGAAATTGTTATAACGAATTAAATTTGTTATAACAAATTCTACAATTCGTTATATCGAATTTGAAAATATTTTTTGATAGGTCCTAAATGGGCTTCCGTAAGGAATTGTCAAATTTGTTATAACGAATTTAATTCGTTATAACAATTTCTTTAAATTCGTTATAACAAATTCAATCTGTTATAACAAATTTGTTGAATTCGTTATAACGAAATCGAAAATTTAGCTTTAAAGAATTAAATTTGTTATAATGAATTCTAAAACTTGTTATAACGAATTAATTTCGTTATAACGAATTCCTTACTTTGTTATAACAAATTCGTTAAAACGAATTCGACAAGTCGTTATATCGAATTCATATATATTTTTCTATAGGCCCCGATTGTTGATTTGATTAAACGAATTTAATTCGTTATAATAAATTCTATAATTTGCTTGAACGAATTTAATTCGTTATAACAAATTTTATAATTCGTTTAAACGAATTTAATTCATTATAACAAATTTTTGAATTCGTTATAACGAATTCTACAAATTTGTTATAACAGATTGAATTCGTTAAAACGAATTCAAAGAAATTGCTATAACGAATTAAATTTGTGATAACAAATTCGACAATTCTTTCTATCGATATCAAAAATATTTATTGATAGGTCCTAAATGGGCTTCCGTACATTTCTCACTCTGGGTTTTGATTTTTTTCTTTGTAAAAGACGGACAATACGGTCAGAGGAAAATCAATTTGAAAAATTGCTTAAAGACAAATAGGCAGTCAAAGGGCGCTCTATCAATGTAAAAACTCGTATTGTCCAGAAAAGCTAAAGAATATAACAGATCATTCTTACGACTAATTTGGAAAGATGAAGTCAATTTAGACATTAATTCTATTTTTTTTTTTATTGGATTTTTTATCAATTATATGACAAAATTAAGCATAATTGCACATTTGGAAATTAGTCCAGCACTGTCTTTACAGGGGCATTTAACAATACACTATGTAATCATATTTCGTGGAGGTTAATTTTCATGAATTTTACCAGAAACCCTTAGAAGCCACATAGCTTCTTTTCATTACGTGTATACAATATACGGATTTAAAGAAAATATACGGAAGCCCATTTAGGGCCTATCAAAATATATTTTTGAATTTGATATAACGAATTCAACAAATTAGTTAAAACGAATTTAATCTGTTATAAAAATTTTTTGGTATTTGTTATAACGAATTCATAAATATGTTATAACAGATTAAATTCGTTTAAACGAATTCTAAAATTTGTTTAACGAATTAAAGTTGTTTAATGAAATACGACAATAAGGACCAATAAAAAAGTATAAATGGATTCAATATAACGAATTGCCGAATTCGTTTAAACGAATTTTATTCGTTATAACAAATTTAAGAATTCGTTTAAACGAATATAATTCGTTATAACAAATTTTAGAATCTGTTAAAACAAATTGAATTCGTCAAAACAAATTTGTTGAATTCGTTATAACGAATTAAATAAATCTGTTATAACAGATTAAATTCGTTATAACAAATTCAAAAAAATTGTTATAACGAATCAAATTTGTTTTGACAAATTCGACAAATCGTTATATCGAATTCAGAAATATGTTTTGATAAGTCCTAAATGTACGGAAGCCCATTTAGGACGTATCAAAAAAAATTTGAATTCGATATAAAGAATTGTCGAATTTGTTATAAAGAATTTAATTCGTTATAACAGTTTCTTTGAATTCGTTATAACGAATTTAATCTGTTATAACAAATTTATTGAACTCGTTATAACGAATTCAAAAATTTGTTATAACGAATTAAATTCGTTATAACGAATTCTGAAACTAGTTATAACGAATTAAATTCGTTAAAACGAATTCTTTAATTTGTTATAACGAATTAAAATCGTTAAAATGAATTCGACTAATCGTTATATCGAATTCTTACATATTTTTCTATAGGCCCCGATTGTTGAATTTGATTTAACAAATTTAATTCGTTACAACAAATTTTTGAATTTGTTTTAACGAATTAAATTTGTTATAACAAATTTTAGAATTCGTTTAAACGAATTTAATTCGTTATAACAATTTTTTTGAATTCGTTATAACTAATTCAACAAATTTGTTATAACGAATTAAATTTGTTAAAACGAATTCAAAGAAATTGTTATAACGAATTAAATTTGTTATAACAAATTCTACAATTCGTTATATCGAATTTGAAAATATTTTTTGATAGGTCCTAAATGGGCTTCCGTAGTTTTTCTAGAAAACCTTTGTTGAAATATATCTCATAAACATAATTTGGAATTTACTTTCCAATGCAAAAATATCTTACCTTTTTCTTGCAATATGGTTTTCTCAGCGAGGTATTTGTGCAAACGAGGTCTCTCTCTCGATCGATCGATAATTAAACGTTTATCGTCTAGATTTCTTTAATTCGTTATATCGGATTGGAAATTGAAATAACATTTTTTTAAAAATTTGTTATAACATATTTCAACAATTCGTTATCACAAATTACACTCAGTTATAAAGAATTTTTAACACTGAAACTTGAAATAGTTATAATTTGTTCTCACAGATTTTGCAATTTGTTATTACAAATTCGAAAGAAATTGTTATAAGAGATTTCACAAATCCGTAAAAACGAATTTAAGAAATTGAAATAACAATTTTTTAAATTCGTTATAACAGATTAAATTCGTTATAACAATTTCTTGAATTGGTTATAACGAATTCAACAAATCTGTTATTACAGATTAAATTCGTTATAACGATGTCCAAAAATTCGTGATAACGAATTAAATTCGTTATAACGAATTTTTGAATTCGTTATAACGAATTCAAAAATATTTTTTGATAGGTCCTAAATGGGCTTCCGTAAAAATATACATAGATAAAAAAAATATTATTTTCTTGCGAAGTTATCAGAAGTTGACAGTGCACTGTAAAATAAATCCCGAAAAGATAAGCCATTTCTCCTATGGTATTGATTAACGGATTATATGTAATGCCAAATCCCCAAATCTTATCCATCTCAAATGATTTTTTTCCAAGATTCAGCATACTCCTCTCAGGAAATTTGAGCTACGGATTTTTATATAGTTGTTCCTTACGTCGCGGGTTCGAATCCCACTGTGGGACGTGGAGACCGGTCCTTCGAATGAGACTGTATAAACCGAGGTTCCGTGTCGCAGTAGGTGCTTGCACGAAAAAGATCAATCACTGCTCAATGGCCCTAGGTGCCGAGTATAGGTCAAAATTTGTTGCTCTCCACCGGCAAGTGGTGGCGTCTCCATATGAGTGAAAAATTCTCGAGAGGGACAAACATACTTTTATCCACCTCCCAAAACAAAAAAAATCTTGAATCCGCTTTATGTTGAATACTTTTGTACGGAGGTTGCTTACTCCTCCTCGGCACCCACCTTTGATGTTTCAAGGGGTCCGTGTTTTTGCCCTGTTCACGATTCGTTTTGTTACTGGATTTATGAGATTATCACTGTTCGTTATCTTCACCTTTTACATTCTATAACTTCCTAATGACCATCTTTTTCAAAAAATCGAATAAAGATGAATATATAACTTGTTTTATTATTAAATTTAGCTTCATTGTACATGTAGTACAAACTGATTTTATGGAATGACTATCAACCAAACAATGTATTTTCAGAAACAATTTTATTTCTGACGTGTTTTCCACATCTGATTAAGAATGAAGAGTAAAACATGTTGAATACAATCCAATGAGCGCATTCATTAAAACTACTCTTTACTGGATGAATGACAAACACAATGATGCAGACATGATTCGGACTGAGGAATCCCTATAAATGCAGGAGGAAACAAAAACCAAACAAGTTGACAATCCGCTTATAGAACTACATTTGAATCATAAATGCATGAAACATTTTCTTAAGATTATGTTTATCACATTGAAAGCAGTCCATTATAATCCAATAAATTATTCACAGGTTGGTATTCCTATATGCACAGAACGATATCTGTGAATTTCACAGGTAGGAATCCGTTATTGCTGATGGCGTGGACAGACGTTCCTTTCTGATTTTGATTGCTCTCTGCAGCTTCCGCCTCGGTCCAAGTTTCAATCCAAGCTCCTCAAGGTCTTCTTCAGCCAGTGTCATTAAAGATTGCAAGTCCACATCTTGATCTGTGAATAAATAAGTGTAATGGCTTAACTCACACGAAGCCAGGAAACGGATTAAATCTGAAAATTGTGTATCCTCTTCTTCATCATCAGAACACACTTCATCCGGGTTCCATGGCACATTTGGACCCGCTTCCGTGACGTCATTTTTCCCGAGACTTTCTGAACTTCCGCTGTCACGATTTGATTTTAATCCGTTCAACTCGTCATCAAAACCCTGATCCTGACTATCTAAAAAGTCTGCGGAAACAGATCGACCCATTGCATTTAAAGTTCCAGTAACTCCCCTATTTGATAAGAAAGCGATTTTCCCAAAATTTGGTCGAGAGAATATGCCTGGTTTTTCTTCTTCGTCTTCGTACCCAATCGAGTCATTGCTGTCTACTCCAGAATCTAGCAATTCGGACTCACTTTTCCATTTCGAGCTGTTTGACACACCATTCATTCCTGGAAACACATTAGACAACGGCTTTCTGGCAGCAGGATCATTTTCACGGTTCGTCACGTACATGATGTCAGAACCTTTTCGCACACCCGTTGTCCCTGCTAAGGAGCGCAGAGTTCGTTTACCGTCAATATTTTCACTGGTTTTAAAATCACCAATTGTCCCACTGCTCTGGCTACTTTGATTTTGCAAGATTCGCTTTTGTGCACCACCTAATCCCCGCCTACTAGGCTGTGCAATCTGTGAGAAAGTGGTATTTCCATTTGCAATGGTCGGATCTTTTCTTTTTGGCTTTAGCCTCATTGTCAGGGTTTTGAATGGGTTTTTGCTCGGCGGTTTAAAGTCAGGATTGAGCTCTTCCTGAATTCTACGTTGTTCTTTCTCGGCGTATTTGGCTGCCTCCTTTTGTCTTCTTTCCATTCGTTTTATATTTTGTTCTGCATCTTTTGTTGCCTTTTCACGCATATGTTGAACGACCTTGGGGTTTTTCTGCTGTTGCTTTGATTGTGAATCATCAAGAAATGCTATTATATCCACTTTGTCTTCTATCACGGCGATATCCATCGCGGAGTGAAGTTCATTGTCAAGTGCCCAGATATTACAGCCGAAATTAACTAGAAATGATACGGTGTTTAAGTGGCCGTTTTTTGCTGCATGATGGAGGGCGGTAAACCCTTGCAGGTCACATTTGTCCGGATCACCACTGTGAAGCAATTCAAAGTATTTGAGTTAACAAAGATATATTTGATTTGATATAACAGAGATTTATTACTAATTAAATCTTTTATGCCAATTTAAGCTACATGTATATATAAATGCATCAGAATCTCTTCTCTTTTTCTTAACCTCAACATCCGTTCCTATCAATTACATACATTTCAACGTCTCAATCATGAAACTCTTAAAACGTAAATATGAAGCAAATAAATAACCGAATCTAAGAAAGTTGTTCACCAGTGAATATGTGATATTTGCTTGGATCTTCTCGATAATACGATTGTTTTTTTGTTTTGTTTTGTTTTTGTTCTTTTGTTTGTTTGTTTTTGTTGTTGTTTTTATCTTGGATATATCATTCATTCTTTATGAAATAAATATTTAAATTAAGAATATTTTTCCTTGACGTTTTAATTGTATTTGGAAGTTGTTATTAGAAAGATGCTGGAGTTTCTCATTAACAACATCTATGTAATCTTCGGTGACCAGGTCTTCCAGCTAACTGTTGGAATTTCGATGGCCACTAATTGTGTTCCCTTATTAGCCAACCTGTTTTTATATTCCTATGAAGCAAAATTTATTCAAAAACTTCTACGTGAGAAGAAAACACTTGCTGTGGCTTTCAATTCCACATTCAGATATATCGTACTTTTATTCATAGGTCGACTCGATATATCCCAATGAACTCAAAATAAAAGATATCACAGAGTCTGTTACATCTATTTTATATTTGGATGTTTTATTGACCATAAGACGATAAGGGTCAACTAACAACTAAATTGTATGACAAACGAGACGACTTCAACTTTTCAACTTTTCTTATTTATGAAGTAATATTACGTTATCACCTGCATATGATGTTAAAGTCTCCCAACTTATTCGATCCTCAAGAACATACTCTGTGTAAGATCAATTTTTAAACCGAAACGGGCTACTAACAGATAAGTTGATTTCATAAATTCTATGGAAGAGTGCACGTGCACACAAAAGTTTTTATTTTCTGCTCTAAAATGATCAGTTTTGATTCTTAGCATTATAATACACTACTTCTTATGCATCGGGAAAACTGGATTCTTGAAATTTTAATATTTTGCTATAATAACATTTTTTAACTCTATATTTCTTATCACTTAATTTCTTATTCTATTTTCTTAGCATTACATAATCAAAAAATATGTTGATAACACGAAATTTTATTTTTATTAATTGTAGACATGAGTTAAATAAAAATCCCAGAGAGCATATGTATTATTGATATTCTCTTTCTGTTCTTGCAGCAATGACATATCAATAACTATATGTTTTCTTTTATCTCCGGTGTATAATTCCTGAATTGACAGCCACGTTATCAACTCTATTTAATAGGGCATGTAACCCATATATTCGATTATATAATCTATCTAAAACGATAAATCTTTTGATTTATTATACACGTAGATCACCGGTTTCCAGGTTTCGTGAGGGTAGAGAAAGGTAGACCTGACTTTTGAACCCTTTCAGCTTACAATTACTTGAAAGAATGCAATAAGTGATATGGGAAACTCAGAAAATCTTTCCCGATAAATTAGTGAATGCTATCTTTTATTTTGTCAAGCAAAGAAAGCCAATATTTTTCCATCACTCGAAGAGAGAATTGTTGAGTATTTTTAGGAGATGTTCGCCATACACATGTTTTTATGAAAACATGAATACCATTGCCGATAAAGCACAAACTCATTGAGTCAAATAACAAACTTCAAACGCCTCTTATTTTAATTTATATCAATAACCATTTTCGTCGAACAGAATTAGAGATGTGTTACTAATATTTTAAAAACTTGGATTTTTTGCTGCTACTCTGAAAAAGGACAATAAAAAAATTTCGATTAAAAAGAAACTTCTTGTTTCTGATAATACTTATAAAAAGGCAGCATAGGACTTTGCCAAATATCAAAAATCTTTCTAGAATTTAACTTCCTCGTTCTTGTTAAGAAATTCTAAAGCAATATTTTTTCGTCGCACACGTAACTGGCGAATACTTATAGGTAGGTATATATACTTAAAAATATATTTGCAACCATAAATTTTGTTCTGATCAAGGGTTGCATGTTATAGATGTATAAGAACTTGGTGATCTGTCTACAATATTTAAGGAAAAACATTGGCGACAGGCTATTCGCGCCTTGGCAAGATCAACCAAATATTTCTGTACATATTGATTTTTCGTTGATAACGGATGAAATTTATCTTGAGTCAACACGACACCTGGATAAAACACAGCCATGTTACATTATTCTTATTTTAATGGAGAACTTGAAAAATATTCGCGAATTTAAGCAGGATTTGAAAAGTTTTAAACAAGATTATTTTATTATTAAAATACTTCAATTTTAAAATCACTCATGAATTTGCAGGTTCAGCTAATACTTATGTGAAAAATGTGGTAAACAGGACTTCGATCCTAATGATTTATCAAAGGATTATATCTTGACGTATATATAAATAACAGGACAGATACCACGCGACTAGATATCAATTCTAGGAATAACTCATCATTCACTTACAAGAAAATGACAAGTTTCTTTTTCCTAAATGTAAAAGAAAATGTAATATAGAGTTTTCTACGTCATTCTGCGTCGTTTAAACGTACCTTCTGCCTACGATCATTCTCAGCGCGTCCAGATTCCCAAAGGCTGCCGCGTACAAAGTAGGCGTCATCCCATCTTCATCCGATGAATTAAGATCCTTCTTTGTGGCATTTCGAAGGATGTCCAGGAAGCCATCTTTTGCGGCTCGGTGGTATTTGTCGTCCATATTTGTGGTGTAGATTACATAACAAATGGCTGATCACTGGATATAAGCGTTTTGTCCTTATCGTTTGACTAATTTAGCCTTGCAGGCGTCTATCCTGTACAGTGGTGCAATCTCTGAGTGGGATTGCCAGTGAATTGAACATTTCCCGCACACCTTATGAATATTCATGATAACATGTGAATTTACTGATAAGCTCAGGTAAAGGAATATATATCTGTTCAATTTATTTTAATCCTCTGATAAAACTAGTGCTAACAAAACTACGTAAGATTGTCAATGAAATACTTATTGTCTGAGCGTGCAGGTGGATAAACCTGGGAGGAAGTTATAGATATGATTTATAGCAGTCTATGTTGGGCCTGTACGCAGTCAGATGTTCTCGGTCCGAGCAAAACTTTATTGAATTCAGTATTGGACCATCAAGAGTGACTTGAGTATCTTTTAATTCCCTACTTCACAGCTACTTGCAAATACAGCCGAAGAACTCTGCTATAGGGTCTAGAGATAGGGGATAGCTGTTTTAGCTTTTAACGATTCTTGAATCTTAGTATTCGAAAAATTACGAGAAATAAAATTTCAAAATCAGGGGAATAAATATATTTAAAATACAGGTATGTTTACCTGAAAATGACAATACTTGTAAATGTATGTGTTGGGAAATCTTTATATAAACAGTCAGAGTACGAACTGTCAATTAGCCGGATCACGTTTCCTGAGACACGACTACACCTACCGGGCATTGAGGGCTTAAACTGTCCATACAGACATATAGACAAATTTACTTCAGGGGGCTGCGAGACTGAAATGTCAACAAACGTCCACAAGCATTGTACGTAGATTTTAGGCTTCTTCTCCCTGCTCCGCTGCCAAATTAATGCCACAGAAATGATAAAAATATATAGAAATGATAATAATGAAATCTTTGAAAGGCTCATTTTGTCAAATTTATATTGTCAAGAAGCCGAATACCTCAGTTAAGAATAATTTTCTCACATTTTTGAATAATTGGTAGATATGTGAAGGAATAGATTAATTATTTGATATAAACCTGACACTTGGCCCCAAGACCACTCGTGAAATTAGTTATATCAAGGATTTTTAGAAGTATATTTTAGATAAGTACTCATATAGAATGACTCAAAATCGCAAAGAAAATGGGGGGTCAGTGTGTATCTCACTGAGCTCCGGTACCACTCTCTACCATCGGCTCATACATTCAGCTCTGTCGTTGGCTCGCGTATATCACAGTGATAAGCACGAGCAATAGTGCGTTTGTTTAAATTCATTATAATTAAACGTCTGAGCTAATGTTTCTCTTTTAAGGTAGATATTTACTAAGTATATCTAGAACTATTAGTTTAATTAGAAATAATCCTTAAAATGTCATGTTTTACGCTATGTCAAAAATCTTGACGTGAGCCCATCGCAGAGGTGTCTGAGAGAGAAAAGAACGACAACTCTGCAAGGGAGATTGCTCCGGTACAATTAAGTTGACCTTTCTGCACTTAAATTGTAACTCTTGTTTATCACTTTTATCTTTATCATATTTTATCAGATGTAATTATGGCAATAAATATAATCTTATTTTATGTAAAACAGTTTGAATAATATTTATCATTGAACAAATCATGCAAATTAATGCGCATAAATTGGGAGGTCAACATTACCGCTACATTGCGAAAACTGCTACATTTCGACGAAAGATCGGGTGATCATTACCGCTACATTTAATATTTGTATCATTGCTGCGGTGTTTTTCCTTTGATGTCCACTGTATTTTATTTTTGATACACCACGACTAACTGTGCTCTAACAAACATGCTCTATCAAGATAGAACACACCAGGGTAATGATGCAACAATTCCAATGACCCTTGACCTTACATTGATAAAGAAAAAGAATATATAAACAAAGTAGCTGACTTTAAATATGAGCAAAATACAAGCACATAATTATAAACATAGTAAAGGTATACCTTTCCTTAGGTCTACATAAAAAATTCTAAATTTTGCACGTCATTTTTTTTCTTAAAATCCATAACGAAATTCACACAAGCACATTTTTATAAATGAATGTTTTCATCTCTCATAAACTTGAAGCGTAACAAACCACACACAATGTAGTACAGGGAGCGAGGTGGATATTCCTTGTTTTTAATTCCAACACAAATCGCTGCATCCAGTAATTTAGAGAATCGCTGTTCACCTCGGTCAAAAGAGGACATTTTCCCGTGCCGCACGCCACTCCTTAGCTTGAACGTTACGAGGATATTTTTTGAGAGTCTATCAAACGCTGAATTTCATGATCGGACACTTCTACAAACCTTTCATTTTCGTCTTCGTGTCGACCTCGAGACTGGTGAAATTTAACGAGTGTATCTTCAGAATGATATCAGACGAGGGGGCTTGTCCCCCGAGTCTGATATTTGAAGATGCACGAGTTAAAAGGTACTCTATATGTTTTGTATCATTGTTCTCAGATACCGGGCTACCCATGATCTATCAAATTCACGTTAATAGCACTTAATTCAACTACATATTCTCATGCACTGAATTAGCCATGATCTATCAAAATTTCATCATACCATTTTATATAACCAATGAAAAAAAAGCACGTGATTCGAAAAGTATAGCGCGCTGTATTTCTTGAACTTTCTACCTCGTCCATTCATATTCTGAACGCCATGGATGACGGTTGTGATTTTATGCTTTTGCAATTCTTATAGACACGGAAACCGAAATCATGAAGGAATATTCCTGAGATCAGTTAGGAAACCAGATGCAGGTTGAAGATTCTTTGGGAAGTATGACGTTTGAAATACGGAACTAAAAATTGAACTTATTATTATGGATTTCGATATAGGAGATATTTTAGACATGATGGAGACTGAGTTGAGTGCGTTAATTTCACCAGTCTCGAGGTCGACACGAAGACGAAAATGAAAATGACATCAAAGGAAAAACACCGCAGCAATGATACAAATATTACATAGAGTACCTTTTAACGAGTGTATCTTCAGATATCAGGCGAGGGGGCTTGTCCCCCGAGTCTGATATCTGAAGATGCACGAGTTAAAAGGTACTCTATATGTTTTTAATATATTCGATCAGTGCATATTATCTATTCAAGATATATTACTAAAGTCAGGTACTCTTCACACAATTGCTCCGAAGGAAATAGTTCCATTCATGATCAGTAGATACAACATTACAACAAATGTTAAGAATAATGATGTATATTTAATACGTTAAAGAAAACAAAATTAACTTAAAAAGATTTTAAGAAAATCACTTTTCCCCAGAAAAGGAAATAAAAAGTTTTCATATTCCTACGCTCGCTGCCTCCTCAGTCTTTTTCACGAAAATATATAGGTCATCCTTCGATTGATAGTGATAAATCTTTTCACCAATTATATAACTGTCATGATTATTGTTCGTTAATTGCCGTATATTTTCTTTTGAGTGAGAATATTAATCATAAACTGTGTGTGTGTGGGTTTTTTTCTCTCTTTTTTTAAATAACGGAATGGTTATTTTGTGGTTTAAAACCCCGGCAATCGTAACTTCTCGGTAAAGCAACGTGATTTGCCGTGATTTGCCGAGCTCGTCTGAAAGGATCTTCGCACGTGTGTAAACCTAGTCTATTTGGTCTTGCAAGCACAGGTATGTGCACCGTTCGTTAGTGACGCTTAGATCATGTAGACTGTATCAGTATTTGCTACGGACATGAAGAAGAACTATACACCAGTTTCATAACAAGTGCAGGTTTTTTACTCAAGCCCTAGACTGGGCTAGAGGGGCTGAGTTACCTAAAATGATGCTAGGTCATTGATCTACTCAGTTTAAAAACACGAAAATATACTATTTTTGTAAATAAAAACATTTCTAGAAACAAAAATGAAGTTTATCTTCAAAACGTCTCTATGTTCAAAATCTATATAAAGTGTTAAATGTCGGATTTTATTCTATGACGAAGGAGTGGTGCTCCACAGCCGCAACCGATCTCGCGCTTTCCTTTGCGTTTAACAACGGCCGTCAATGCATCTCTAGACACTCTTGTTGACCCATCTTTTACATCTGCCTATACTTTGAGTGATAGTACTTTAATAGCACAAAATTAAAAAATAAATTAAAATCTATTCTTGATAGATCTATAGTTTTGCTATTTAAAAAATTGGGCTATCTTTGATCTTTGCTTGGACTTGTTTCGAATTTTTACAGAAGATTCTAACATTGGAAAGTTAGATGGTACACATGTAGCACAGGCCCATAGTACGCGGGATTTTTTCGGACTCCCCCCCCCCCCCCTTTCACTTTGAAAACGTTGCTACAGTCCTGTAACATGCTATTTGGATTAAATATTCCTGAAAATGAGTGAGCTGTTAAATACATCTTCAAAATTATACGGTTAATTATATTTAGTCTATGTTCTATGTGAAATTAAAACTATTTCTATAGGCATCTGCAACGTTGTGATAATAAAAGTCACTAATCGCATGTAACGTTATATACATGTATGTACATGCAGTTTCCTTAGTACATGCATATTTTATTCAACAAAAGATGTTGAAACGCAGTAGCCTAAATATTATGTCATTTTAGGTTATTTATGGCCATTGTTTAGTTGACTTTCTACAGCTTGAGTATCTCTGACGTTTTATCAGTAAATAGTTTTTTTTAAATTAGAAATCATCTGAGCACAATGAAAATTCGAATAAATTAAAAGTCGAATATCTTGGATATGGGGTAACCCATATCTATTCTTGTGTATCATTGTTCTCAGGTATTGAGGTATCCATGATCTATCAATTTCAAGTTAATAGGACATAGTTTAACTACATATTCTCATGCACTGAATTAGCCAAGATCTATCAAAATTTCATCATACCATTTTATATAACCAATGAAAAACGAGCATGTGATTCGAAAAGTATAGCGCGCTGTATTTCTTGAACTTTCTACCTCGTCCATTCATATTCTGAACGCCATGGATGACGGTTGTGATTTTATGCTTTCGCAATTCTTATAGACACGGAAACCGAAATTATGAAGGAAAATTCCTTAGATCAGGTAGGAAACCAGATGCAGGTTGAAGATTATTTGGGAAGTATTACGTTTGATCTTCCGGAACTAAAATTGATCCTATTATGGATTTCGATATATAGGAGATATTTTAGACACGAT